CAAAGTATTTTCGCTTTCGCAACGAAACACAGCGTCTTCACAACATGGTGGCAGCGTCAACAATACTACAGCGAGAATCAAAGTTATGCCTTCTTTCTTTGCGTGAACATTTGGCGGTGTTATGCAAATCTTCCCACACAGTGACGTAGACATGTGGGGCCGTGTTTAAACAAGACATTTTAGTAGGGCGTGGACATGTCTTAACTTTTATAAAGAATATCTCTTTGGGTTTGAGACTTTAGTCTTTGCAACTTTAGGGATCTTATTTATGCACAAACAGCTTGTAACACTCCAAAGAGAAAGGAAAACTTGAAATTGCATCATATGACCCCTTTAAACTAATGTTTTAATGTAAGAACTTTTAATTATCAATTAATTATCAATAAATATCAATTATTTAATGTCTTTAATTTAATGTCTTTAAAAAAAGTCTTATTTAATTTTCTCTGCAACTCCATGTGCCAATACAAATGTGTAATCTAAGGAAATAGCAAATATGAGGAAGAGTGAGATCAATCAATCGATAAACCAATAAATAAATAAATAAATAGGTGTTTGTCTTAATAATATAATAATAAATTAAGTAGTTATTATTATTATTATTGTACAATTAAGTAGTTATTATTATTATTATTATGTATAATAATAATAATAATAATAATAATAACAATTTAGTTATTATTATTATTATTAATATTATTATTATTATTATTGTTATTATTATTATTAGATTTAATATTTAAAATTTAGATTTAAAATATTACATAACTTTAGAAAAACAAAATAACCCACAATTTGCTTTAGGTCAGGGAAGAGTTAATTGTGGACCCTGTTGCAGGAAACGTTCAATACACAGAAAACAAAACACAGATAAAGAAGGTGAGATGAAGCTTAACTCTAGGTAACGGGCATTATACAGCAGCATAGTATAACCAATTTCTATGGGCCTCGTAGGATTCCTATAAGCTTGGCTCACGCACACACACAATTTAAAAGCCATTTCAGTTTCAGATTAGCAGCGGAGAATGAAAAAGCGACTGACACTGAGGGCATAACTCAAAAGAAACAAACATGGTGAAGTTTATGATGATCATCTGTTATTGTTTTTAAGACGTAATAACATAAGTGTTGATTCGTTCCGTATGGAACATACTTAACTGTGATTACACCGAATGACAAGATGACAGTATCGATATTTGTTTGCGGATGAAATATGGAAAGCGCTTTGTGTAGACTGATTCATCTCGTTTAATCATAAAGCATAACAGATGAGAGTAAACCATTAGACTTGATTAACATGTAAATTGCCTCTGTAATTTGCTAATAGATTGAGCGTATGAATAGGATGCAGCCACCTGAACTTTTAGCAGTAATGAGAACAGTAATCGAGCTTGAACGCTCATGCAACTGGTGGCGGCAGGCAGTCGACCTCTCTGCTCCATCCTCTAGATCCTTAACCTTGAGCCACAATCTACAGAGTTTTTAGCCAAATACCTGTTTCTTGTTCTTTATTTTTCTTCCCTGACTTACTTTCCTGGTAACTGAAGATAACTGAAGTTCACAAGATGGTCTCCAGGAAGAGAAGCCATTATGAAGGAGTCAGGGCTCAATTCATCTAGAAACTGATAAGACAATAGGTGGTAAATGTCCTGACAAATCAGCCTTGCTCTGCTCACAACAGAATAAACAGGTATTTTGAATCATTGATAAAGGGTAGCCAAGTCTCTTTAGCAACAAATGATATGCAAATGCTTCAATTAGAAGTCCCAATAGTCCAGATATGACTTGACCTTTGGATGATCACAAACCATTTTTCTCCCTCCTTCTTCTTCTCAAATCTTACTTTGCGCCTCATTCTCATTACTGCTTAGTGAAAAAGTTTCTCATTTTCTAAAGCAATTCCCCTCTCTGTGCTCCAGCCTCAGTTCAGTTGATTAGGAGAATGATATGCGTCGAGCCACATTTTTATATGCATTACCGAGTGTTTGATTACACAATGCAGGCAGTGGATTGTTTATTAGAGGGGAAATTAAAAAGGTGTAGGAGCATCATGCAGGAAGCTGAGGTCCCTTGACGAGTACCCTGTCTCATGATTATGCGTCTGTCAATCTCCGGCCCGTTGTGACCCATTTTCTCTTTTAAGTTTAATACAAGAGAATGGCAAGCAAATTAGCTGCTAAATTAGAGCACCGTCATTTCCGCATCGCTTTGGCCCTCTGTGGCAGCTTGTGGCACGCTGCAGACCCTCCAGTCACGGTTCTGGAATGCTAATCAGCCTCCAGCACTCAATTTTCTCTAGCCATACCCCTTATTCTCTTTAAACAATATCCATCATTTAGACCAATTTTAAAACCAAAACCCATTTTACACAGGAAAATTTTTCATTTAGGGCTCCTTTCCCCCTCTGTTTTCATTTTGGCTTCTTATCTTGCTTTAAAAAGCAATTTATGAAGCAAAAGTCTGGTTTGATAAAGGTCTAAGCTGGCCACTGACCTGAATTTGCTGGCCGTCTCCCATACCATTCAGTGGCACTAATTAGCAGTCAGCATGTCTGAAACTATCTGTTATATATGGACAGGACAATATCAAGTAGACAAGCATCCATTTACACTCTCAATGGGTGGGAGGGCACTCTGAGTAGAAACAGTCACAGTTTGGGTAATTAACTAGGGCTAACACACAATTAAACCATCCCAATCTCATCTGTGATGAGCAAGAGGCAAATTCAATTAGATTTGGTTACTACTGAGGGTTACAATACTCTAGTTAAATGCAAAGATGGGGTTTCATTTTCCCTTCCAGCTGGAACTGGCTCTGGGAGCCTGTTCCATCTCGTTCCTGTAGTTGACGATGAACATAATAGTGTTCATCGTCTGTTTTATTACGTCTTAAATTGATTTTTCCGTACATTTCTGCCATATGTACATTAATTGACAGTCACCACTGCTAAGCTACCACTAAATATTGTAGAAACTTAATTTGCTGTAAAGTTGCTTTGCAATGATTTGTATCGTGAAAAGCGCTGTACAAATAAACTTGACTTGACTTGACTTGACTGTAGCTAATGTGGAAGAGAATGATGCTAGCAAACCTAAAAATAAGGGAACCGACAAACTGCTTGCTTCATACACTTTCAAGCTTCTAAGAACTGAAAGTATTCACAGTATAGAGATTGTGTTTGGCGAGATTCACCATCACAAGCTGTTTATATGCTGGATATGTGGTAAGGATTATGGCCTAATTGTGTAGCATGCATTTGTAATGGATGATTGCACAGCATCTGTTGAGAGTCTTGAGACAATACAGAAAATCAAAGCTCTGGCTGATCAGTGAGAGGTAACAGCTTTGATCAACCTGTTAGAAGGTATAAAAAAATGCTGATTTTCAAAGATGTTTGAATAGCTTGTAGCTGGTGTGTGGTGAGCGCACTGGCGCCGTTGTCCTGTGGCTGCTGTCGCATCATCCAAGTGGATGCTGCACACTGGTGGTGGTTGAGGAGAGACCCCCACACATGATTGTAAAGCGCTTTGGGTGTACAACAATACACAATAAAGCGCTATATAAATGCATCATTCATTCATTCATTCATGTTGGCGGGTGGCTGCACTGAGCATGCTGGGAAGGCGGAGGGAAGGGTTAGGAGAACACCCACCTTGCTGTTTCTTTCGCTGATGCTTTTCTCTGCTTTTCTTAGCTTGTCTCTCTCACTAGTCAACTGGACAGGTGAGCGTCAGACAGACATAGATACATAGACAGAGCAATGGTAAGGCAAAGAGAAATTTCATAGCTGGAAGAGGAGAATAAAGCAAAAGCCAACTGCCAACTTTACTGAAGGTCACATGGCAATAAAACTTGGGGACAGCAAGAAATTGGATGCAAGCAGCCTATTTGAACATTATCAAAACACCGTGTTTACCTACTAATGAAGTAATACAGGGTTTCATTAGCGGTTGTTGTGAGCTTTGCAGGAGTGAATTCATAAATTAAGAACATCATTAAACACCCTCACACAGTTCCAGTTCCAGACACAATTGAGTGCAACAGTGCCACCCAACTTTTCAGCGGACTTGGTTCCGAAATTATTTGGCCCATAGAGATTTCTTACAAGTCTTTATTAAACCGTTAAAAGTGCTTTTTAGGAGTGGAATGGGGAAAAATATTAAGAAATATTAAGTTTTCAAAGACTTTCAAGTTATCAGTAACAATCAATTCCCCTATGAAGAAAATTTAATTTTTACTTCTGGAACCAGAGTGTTGCGCCAACATTACTGAAGGTCACATGGCAATAAAACTTGGGGACAGCAAGAAATTGGATGCAAGCAGCCTATTTGAACATTATCAAAACACCGTGTTTACCTACTAATGAAGTAATACAGGGTTTCATTAGCGGTTGTTGTGAGCTTTGCAGGAGTGAATTCATAAATTAAGAACATCATTAAACACCCTCACACAGTTCCAGTTCCAGACACAATTGAGTGCAACAGTGCCACCCAACTTTTCAGCGGACTTGGTTCCGAAATTATTTGGCCCATAGAGATTTCTTACAAGTCTTTATTAAACCGTTAAAAGTGCTTTTTAGGAGTGGAATGGGGAAAAATATTAAGAAATATTAAGTTTTTAAAGACTTTCAAGTTATCAGTAACAATCAATTCCCCTATGAAGAAAATTTAATTTTTACTTCTGGAACCAGAGTGTTGCGCACTATTGGCTTCAGTCATTTCCATGATGCTTTTGTTCCAACAGCGTCCATTTCAAAGGAATTTCTAGGCACAAGCGTCGGAAATGCAGTAAATTGGTTGTTGTGCATCTTTAGATTTGCTTCTGGAATCCTGTTCTTTCAAGTTTTTCCCATCATTTCACTGCCTTATGACGCGCTCAGTGAATTTAGCTCAAGCACTTAGATTCAGTGATGCTATGCTCCCGCTTTGAACTTGCTATGAGCAGCCTCTTTTAAAAAAAGAAAAGGGGAAAAATAACATCTTAACAGCCTCTTTTCATTCAGAGGAAGCATACTCTACTGCCTCTAAAATACACTTATATGGTGCAGTTTCCCCATACTGCATGTAGGGTGGAATCAAATATTAAAGACGTGCAATGGAAAAGAAGATGTATACCTTCATGGTGGGGACAGTGGAGAACTTTGATCACATTTGAAATCCTGTCCTTGCTTGTAGTGTTTAGTAAGTTTTGTTGTTTTTGTTTTTTTTAGCTGTATTTATTTTTGACGATATGAAGGGCAGAACATCAGCCAACACATTGAACACTGTCAAGAAGAACAGCAGCATCTTTGTATTCCTTGTGATCGTTTCCTCAAAGAGAGAGAGAAAGAGAGATGGCACACATGCACTGCATTTCAAACGAATCAGCCTGTAAAGGTGAATGGCCGAGCTGTGTCCCCTGATACTGACCATGGCAACAGCGCAGGGCACATGGCGACCAGCTCTATGATTCAAGCGAAGTGCTGTCCTTATCGGCATCATTACCGCAAGACTCCTTGTCAAATCCATCCCGGTAGTAGCAATAAGACGCAGGTCCAGCCCTGCACTGTACCATAATGTTACGAGTCCCATGTTGGTACAGACAGCTGACCGCACAGCTTTCTGAAACTTATCAGGTGCTGCAAAAGATTTCTCCCTCAGTATCGCTTGGGTTCTGAATTATTAAGAGAGCTACCGTTCGATTCCACATATTTGACACTATTCCCTTCCTGTAGAATGTCCAAGAGGAAAGAGACGAGGAACCCTGGAGAAATGTGTTGCACTTTGTTGCCGTTAATGTGACGCAATTACCAACTGCAGTCAAATCAAGAAAGGGAAATATCAATCCACCACAAAATGAAAAGAGAGAATATGGTTACATGCTTATTTAAAACTGGGCTTGGCAGAACAACTGAGCAGGAGGCCTAATAATGCATGCACTCTCATTAACTCTTAAAAATACATGAAATGAAAGTGCAAAGCTCTTATTTTATTCTTTCCATTTCACATTCAGTCTGTCCGGAATTTTCTGTACCACAGCTTTGATGAGCTCATCCGACTATTATTTTCGCATGAGCTGGCTCTCTTCAATTATGTGTTAAAGGCAAATCTGTTGATAAGCATGTCTTTGCTGTCATCTCTTTGTTGTCCTTTAAACCTCGGTCACCCTAATTGTACAAAATAATGTGAAAAATGTCTGACAGTCATGCTTTTCAGCTCAAAACTTTTGAAATGTACATCATAATGCAACCTAACAAGGCTTATTTTAGAGATGTTATTTTGAAACTTTTGTTATCATGAAATCTAAATCTAATAAACATTTATATAATTAATTTTAATTACATTTTTACAGTACAATGTGTTTTGAAACCAAGTTCTACTTTCCATCTGTACCAGACGACCAAAGAACAACAAGTTAGCAAGTGGGTTCAAGTGTGGGTGAGCATAGTCAGTTTTCACGGTGATGTGTTGTGCACCCACAACATTGTGAAACTGTAGTGGGAGAAGAGTTTTACACCGGCTGTCTAATAAAGGGTACAATTTGTCACCTTTGCGCATGACAACCTATGAGTTTATATCCCTTTCAGATGTGCCAAAACACCCAGGGGATATATGCAAGTCTCTCATGCTTAGCTAATAGCTTCGTTAGCGAGTGCATTATATGTTCTCTACCAGAAGCACCAGAAGTCTGTTGATGCGAGAATGTTCCAGAGCCAAAGCTTTGAACGTGCCATCAGAGTGCACATTTGGAAAGAGTATGCGTCTCCAGGGCTCCGCCTCGCTCCTCTACCTGTTAATGTGCTGGAGATGACTGAGCTTCAAAGAGAAGGTGATCGCCTTGGGGTAAGACTGAAGGACACCCAGGGAAAAACAACAGCCGAATGACACTGCTGTCCAGGAAAGCAAAGCTGGAGAGAGCAGGTGAGCAGTCATTAATGGGGTTGCGTGTCCGTGAGGAGGGACGCATTGGGTGCGCGCAATATGGCTCGGCATGAACCCACAACCTGACAACATTGCGAAACTGTAGTAAGAGAAGAGTTTTACACTGGCTGTCTAATAACGGGTACAATTTGTCAGCTTTGCGCATGACAACCTATGAGTTTACATCCCTTTCAGATGTGCCAAAACACCCACGGGATATGTGCAACACTCTCATGCTAATATCCGTGTGCTTCTTTAGTGAGCGCATTATATGTTCTCTACCAGAAGTACCAGAAGTCTGTTGATGTGAGAATGTTCTGGAGCCAAAGCTTTGAATGTGCCTTCAGAGTGAACATTTGATAAGTGTATGCGTCTCAAGGGCTCCGCTTCACTCCTCTACCTGTTAATGTGCTGGAGATGACTGAGCTTCAAAGAGAAGGAGATTGCCTTGGGGTAAGACTGAAGGACACCCAGGGAAAAACAACAGCCAAATGACACTCTGGTCCAGGAAAGCAAAGCAGGAGAGCAGGTGAGCAGTCATTAATGGGGTTGCGGTGTCCGTGAGGAGGGACACACTGGGTGCACACAATATGGCTCGGCATGAATGAGTGTAGAAAAGGAGGGATGATGGTGACTGATGAGGAGCAGAGTGCAGAGAGGCCTGGGCTCATGAATATGTGTAGGAGTTGAGAAAGTGATGGACGAGGCAGATGGAGGAAAGGAGGGAGGCAGAGTGGGTAACGTGCCGTGATTTGGCTCTCGGGGCAGATGAAGTGCAGGGGTGAGGACTGCACAAAAATGAAGTGTCGGGCTCTGAGACGCTCCGCTTTGCACGGGGAGGAACCCATTCCAGCTCCGCCTCCACTAATGTGCCCATTTGGTAAATCTGTAAGAATGAATGGTGGTCCAAGCTGCCAGGGTCCTTAATGACAGCAACTCATCTCGGTTTGAAGGTGGGGAGGCTCTTGTTGGAAGAAGCTGGGGGCAATAGGGCTTAGAAATGCTGAGAGGTAAGTAAACAGAAAGACAAAGTGTTGGCTTTTCCGACCGCAATATATTTGGTTTCTGGAAAACTATTTACGCCGTGGATGGCGCTTCACAAATGGTGATATTTTTTTTCCTCCTATTAAACTCCATAAGCTAAGCAAGCAAGCTACTTCTTTTGTCCCAAGGCAGCACTAAAATCTAAAATGTTTCAAATTGGGTTTGGTAGGAAATAGCAGTCATTTTGCGGAAGAAGGACTAAGGGTTTTTCTTGACAGGAACGATGATGTGAGATCCAAAGACGTAACACAATCCCTCAAAGCATTGATACAATAGCTAGGAACAGGCTGCGGTGGAGCAATTGAGAAAAATCAAATCCAACAATTTGAGGGGGAGATTGGCCCTTTATTAAATCATACAATCCCCCAAGTCTTAAAATACCCATTTAGAGCACCACTGCATTCACGATAAAAGATAAAAAGGTTTCAATTCGACCAAATTAGCAGAGTCTCTCCCTTCGCCGCCACATTAGAAGTTGCATTACCATTTGAAGCAGACAGAGAAAAACTGCTTCATATGACTTCACAACACAATAAGTACTAGTGATACTAATGTGCTTGTATAGCTCATTTTCAGGGCATTTGATGAGCTGAGCGTCAAGTAGGTTTTATGATGGAGGCAAATAATTTAATGCCTGGTAGTCTAATAGTCATTGGAGAATAGTCTGAAAACCGGAAAAAGTAGGCGTGTTGCTTCACGGATCTGTAGGACAAAGGGCTCTTCTAAGGCAACGTGAACTACAAAGCTCTCATGAGGGAAGATAAGAGAAACCTCAGTGGATTTGAAGCCTCTGAGAGTACAACAAAGCACAGATCTGTTCTGTGGTATAATCAGTGCCAATGGAAGGGTAAACTATGCATGTTAAAGGTGAACGCTAGGGAACCGGCATCGGTGGTAGCTTCCATTAGCGTTAACCTGTGTTTGAACCTTGGGTAGAGAGTGCAGAGCAGCTGAATGGGTCACACCTATGGGGCTGCTTGTGAACCTAAAGTGGTGATGAGAGAGATCATAGTATGTACAGTGGGTTATGGTGCAAGTGTTGTTACCTGGGTCTGCAGGGTGTTGATCTGAGACTCTAGCTCCTTGATTTTCTCCTCCTGCTTCTGCAGTTCGGCCTTCGCCTCCTGCCGTGCGCTGAACTCCTCGTCGAACTGAAGACAATAAAACACACACAAAAACATTGACATAACCATATGGATTCCATCGACCACAGGACAAATTAACACATTCAGCATGTCTCTCCACCTTCACTATCATCAACATCTTGATCCAAGACTAAGCTTTTACTAGCTGCAACATCTGGGTCTTATTCACTTACAAAGTGATCTAACACATGTGCAAATATAATATTGATGAATATGGATCTAAATAATCCAGAATTTAGATTTACTCCACTGTTTAAAAGTTTGGGGTCAGTAATTATTTGGCAAGGATGCATTAAATGGATCAAAATCACAGTAAAGATGTTTACATTATTTAATTGAAACTATTCTGAATATTTTGTAATGCTGTTCTTTTGAGTCATAAATAATAAGGTTTCCATAAAATTATTAGGTGACACATCTGTTTTCAACACTGATAAAAACAATATAAAATGTTTCCTAAGCACCAAAACAGCATATACGAATGAGTTTTGAAGGGTCATGTGACACCGAAGACTGGAGTAATGGCTGCTAAAAACTAGTTTGCCATTACAGGAATAAATTACATTTTAAAATGCATTACAGTAGAAAACTATTGTTTTAAATGGTAATAATAGTTCACAATATTACTGTTTTCACTCATTTAATTTTTGATTAAATAAATGCAACCTTGATGCGCATGAGAGACTTTTTTTCAAAAACATTTTTTTTAAATCTTACCAAGCTTACCAACTTTTGAATGGATGACAGTGTGCATATAAATATTAGATGCATCATATTCTATTAAATCTATATGTATGTATAAAAAATTATACACAGCTGCAATCAAATGCATACACACAGTTAGTTAGTGTGACCCAGTGTTTTCAGCTACCCAGTAGTATTTGTGCTACAGTACTTTGCCTTTAAACCGCAAGCCTCAGATATCTGGCTGACATTTGGAAGAGTTGGGCAGGAAGCTGAGCATAAGCATGGATACACTCTCAAAGCATTGTGGGATACAGCTTTTGGCTTCACTGACAACACCAGCAAGTGTTAGCATCCTCATGAACCTCCAGAGGAAATGTTTGAACTAAAAAATTACAATATTGTTCAGTGGGGCCTTTCACACTATTTGAAATGGTGCCTGTAAATAGTGTTCCCAGTATGGCACAAACAAGTGGACAATAATGTGTATATAAATATTAGATACATTATATACTATTAAATTTATACGTATGCATTAAAAAATGACATTCAGCATTGGTACACAGCTGCAAACACAAGCATACACACAGTTAGTGAGTGAGACCCAATGTTTTCAGCTACCCAGTAGTATTTGTGTTACTTTGCCATTAAACTGCAAGCCTCAGATGTCTGGCTGACATTTGGCAGACTTGGGCAGGAAGCGGAGCAAGAGCATGGATACACTCTCAAAGCATCATGGGATACAGCTCTTGGCTTCACTGACAACACCAGCAAGTGTTAGCATCCTCATGAACCTCCAGAGGAAATGTTTGAACTAAAAAATTACAATATTGTTCAGTGGGGCCTTTCACACTATTTGAAATGGTGCCTGTAAATAGTGTTCCCAGTATGGCACAAACAAGCTTGCAGATTGGAGCATCAGCATTGATTCTGCTTGCACTGATACAGATCATGTTGCTCTGCTGCCAGCTATTGATCAGACGAGAACAATCAATGTGCTGTCTCACCGCTCATGGGAGAAAAGTTTGGTGACAGCAGCATGGTTGCATACCAATAGCGGCACCCAGGGTGATTAATAAACTCACCTTTTTGGAGAATTCAGCCGCTTTCTGCTCGCTCTCTTCCACTTTGGCTTTATCCACGCACTGATCTGTCATACACAAACAGTCGGATGCATGAAAATGCACAAAACACACAAGTATATGTAAATTACAAGGTGCATTGTTAACAAGATGCTTAAGATTCCACATCAGACACCGAATGAAGACAATCAAAAGAACAAAAAACCGAACAGAATAAAATGAACCTGTCAGTGTCTCATTCCCCCCTCTCCTCTGGAGATTTGTATTCTGTTCTGGAGGTTTGAGATGTAAATTTAAAAACGGCGCCCCACAAAATCTGTTTTCAACTCATTAAAGTAAGGGAAGAAGTGAGAAAATCTAACATTTTTTTTGTTTCTGTAGATGGGTTTGAAACTTTTAATGAGCCTTTGTTGGCAAGTTACGAAAGTGTTAGTGACAAAACACAAAAGAGGGGCAAAGAAGAAAAAAAAGAGAGGAGAAAAATTTACATCACCCTTATTTTATTAATTCCTTTGGTGTCCAAGAACTTGCATGACAAAACAATTGGCATCAAATGCTTTCCCTCACAACATTTAATCATAAAACAAATGAAAAAAGTCCAGGACTGCAGATATAACCGGTACAGCTGTAGTCGTGTTGCGTTTATAAGACATGACATGCCAGCCAGGTTTTGCAGATAATGTTTTATTTATGCATAATGAGTGTACCTTATCTTACATGTCAGGTGAGTGCAGGTGTTTCAGACAAGGCTCTCATGGGGACCAGGAAATAATAATTAGATCTACTCCAGGAAATCGCAAACTTTTATCAACTGCAGTTGCGCCTCCCTCAACGCAGCGTGATTTCACAGTTATGTTAGACAGAATGTAGTGTGAACCAGTGCAGGATTGTTATAATCATGCTCTAGACATCCCATTAAGCCCCAAAAATCTTTCTGCCGGATTTCATTGAAGTGATATAACTCAATACTGCTCTCTCGCTTTTACCTAAAGCTGCTTACCGAAACCTGAAACTCCTTTTTATTCATTCCGAAATGTTCTGGCCACTTTAACAAATGGCCACACAGTTCAAGACTGAATTGAATAGTCTGGAAAACTGAGCTGTACCAATGAATAATAACTTAAAAGGAACTGCGCTGATGTCTAGTGTGGCGTTCAACACAAAGATGTTTTCTTCAAGACCCAGGAGACCTAATCTCAGACCTACCAATGAGATGACTGAAGTCCACATCCAGTCGCTCCCTGTAGGCAAAATCAGGGTCCATCCCACTGCGGTGGAGGACGATCTGGGACAAACACTCCTCAATCACCTTGTAATACTGAGGCCTGTAATAAAAAGAATGAGTACAGCGAGAGTGAGGGGGCAGAGTATGACAAGAGACAAAGCCGTTAACTTCATATAAAATACCGCCTCGTGCATTCCTGCAAGGACAGCTCTTCGTAAATCATCTGGTAAGACATATCTTTTAATGGTATTTCACGGCATTGAATTAAGGCTTCCTTCGGTACATAATGAAATCACTAACGGCAAAGTGTGCAGCCGGAGAGCGGTTGGGTGACTTTGTCCATTCAAGGTGAAGACAAACCGACATCCGGGCCTCCATTGTTCCCTCTCTAATTTGCAATCATCTTTGGCAATTAAGGGCAGCAATAAAACCTGAGACGCAAATCTAATCAGTGTAATCTGTGTAATTAGTTGCACAATGGCAGGGAAAACACAGCCTTGTGTTTGGAGGGGTGACAATGACGGGACAGGGAGTAAATGGGTCTGGGACTAGACACTGCCACGGCGCTTAGTGTGTGACCTTTTCCAAGTTATATTACCAAATTTAATTGCGAATGACATTTAACAAATACAATGTCGACTTAAGCCGAGCTCCGTAGTGGCAAATAATTATGTTCCAAGTATGACCTTGAATGTCTCATGTAGGTATTCAATTTTCCTTCCAGAAATGTGTCGTCCCCTTCTCCCGGCTTCTCGACACAAAACAAGCTTTTGAATTCTAATGAACGAGCATGACTTTAAAAATGTCTCTGTGCTAAATAATTGCACCACAACTCTTAGCTAAAGCCACTTAATTCTACCGCATTAAATTTTTTAATCTCCAAACATTCTTGTTTGATAAACAATATTTGCGGGGGAATATAGATAAGCTAATGGATGAACGGCAGAGTTTGTTGACCCAAAGTAATAAATTACGCAACAGGTGTTATGTTTTCTTATGATCATATTTCAGTTTATTTGCTGCTGTTATGGTCTGTGTGCTGCTAATAAGCAAAACCAAGATGTCTGCTAAATTCAGCCACAAAGGGTGACACATTTAATATTTTAGGTAATAATACACAAACAAATAAAAAATTATAAATAATATGCAAGCATTCAGATGCTTCCTGATCATTGCTGATAATGTTAACTATAACTGTAATTATTAAAACAGTTTTCATTAACTGAAATAAAGCCAAATATTAGATGGGAAAAAAATTACTTATTTTACTTCAGTTAGTTACAAAGGCAACAGATATTTATAAAATAAAAATATTTATTAAAAAAAGTACAAATGCACGTAAAAATACTAAAATTAACTGAAAACTGTAATTATTAAAACAGTTTTCATTAACTGGAATAAAGCCAAAATAAAATATGAATATTTGATGGAAAAAAAATACTTATTTTATATTTAAAACATTTAAATACAAAATATTTATAAAATAAAATTAAAAAAACATTTATAAAAAAGTACAAAAGCATTTAAAAATACTAAAATTAACTGGGAACTGAAAATATAAACAAAAGCTAATTCGGAATATTAATAAATATTACATTATTTTATAAATAATACAACACTGACTCTGATCGGAATAATGTCATTTAGCATACTGCAAAATGCTAAAGTACATATTTTAAAAAATAAAAGAGCTATTATAGCATCATAGAGGACTGCATCTCTTGTTGTAACATTTAAATATAAGAACCTGTTTTGAATAAACCAGCCATTAATACATTACCATAATTGGATGTCTCTCCAAGCTCAATGACAAATAACATACTCAAATAACCAAACAAATAATCATATTCATACAATTTCCCAATTCGTGGCAATTGCAGCGATGTGTAATAAGCGTGCAGAGGGGGCGGACGGGGTGGCTGGAACTGATAGGGCTGAGAGTGTCACCGAGCCCGGCTTAGTGGCAAGGCCCGAAGCTTACGCCTGTCACTGATATACACCATTTCATTATCTCAATAAGCCGCCCTATTTTCTCAACATCCTGGCTACCACCACTGCCACATGCTGGATAGAACTGGGAAGGAGACGACTGACCCAGAACTGTCACACCCCACCAGAGGAGACGGCATATGTCCCACTCATCGGCGCTGCTCTTTCCTTCTCTCGCAGTCTGGCACCTTCACTGTCTGCCTCTCATCTCCCATTCAACCCTTGCTCCACACTGTCCATCTAATCTTCACATCAGTCACGGCCAAAAGTAGAAGATGTGCTCCATATACTCTCCCTCTGATCTACCTTCTATTAGAGAGTCTTAGAGAGTTATTGCCCAACGTCTTCCTTCCGCTGCTCTAAAAAGCAGTAAAAAGGAAGGCTGGAGGGCTGAAGGACATCAATAACTGTTATTAAATCGTTCTGTTTATTTTATTTCAGGTTATTAAACAAATTGAGGGAAAACTTTCCATACAAATAACCAAGGACAAAGTTGAGGGCACAGAGTTAAATGATGATAAAGGTGTCTGGTTGTTTTGCTGGAATTAAAGAATGGCTTTAAATCAAACGGTGCGATCTATTGGCACTGACAGCTCTCCTTTATGGCTGGCTTTGATCACCAGAGTACCTCCCAACACCTATGAACAAGAGTGACGTTGTCGACTGATGCGGACTGAAGTAGAGAGATGCCACCAGCCTATTCTTCCCTCCCTCTCCTTGGAGACTCGGTCATCAAAGCGCACACTGATCTCAAGGGATCCCTTTAATCTAAAATTATAGCCATACAATTTCCCAACCAGCCAATCCAATCTACATAAAACGTCTCACCAGGTTCAAAAGCAACCAAAGATGTCAGTGATGAGAAGTTTATAGAGTGACCATGTAATGCAGATGCATATGAGGCAAACAAACAAAACTGTGTATCCATATTTGAGAAATATGTTTTAATGCAGATAAAAGCATCATTGCTCAAACATTGCTCTTAGCGATGGATCATGTACTTTATATCAGATATTTCTCGTAAAAATTTCGAAATGGGAAAAAAACGGAAAGCAAAATATTCGAGTTGATATTAAAAAGTCAGATTTTTTTCTGTGGGATTACTAAGGTCTTTTTCTGAGGAGAAAAATCTGAAAGGCAGAAGACTTAATTTTCTCGTCATTTAATCTCATTGGCGTCTAAAAGAAACAATTGGAGACGTTAAAGAGATTCCATTTGTTATTTTTCCTTCCTATGGGAGAGAGTCTTTAATAAGTGCATACATTTTTAATCAGCGTTTGTAGTGATCCTGTTTTCTGCCGACAGAGTTACAGACAAAGGGGCGGGAGGGATGGCACTGAACGAGAATCTGCCATACTACTTGCTTAATGTGTTTTCTATTTCTCGCTTTTTCCAACAAGCCAGGCAATACATTATTCATGGCACAAAGTGAGCAGCAACATGTCCATGGTAAATTCCCTCCCTTTCATCGCTTCGCTCTTCCGTCTTTATTAAATATTTTACCTCAGCAACAGGTCTGATGCGACAGTGAACTGAAATGATCAGTATCATTTCTTCACTTTCTGACAGACACACAAACTCTGAGTGTGGCTGAACATGCAAAATAACTCTCTCTTTTAAATAAATTATCATTCAAGACATAGTTAAACAGCAAAAAACGACTCAAATCTTATATCTTGATACGAGTAATTTCATATTATTACAATGGTGCAGCTATACAGCACAATAAAGTTAATTTAGCTTTTTTTAATTACATTAAAAAATATCCCAAATTAAATTGTATTTATTTATTTATTTTCATTTGTTTTTAATTATAATCTGTGAATTCTCATACTCAAGAATGCTTGTTGAGTCAATAGAAACTAAGAAAACTGTTAATAAACAGGAGCAATCTTGTTACCATCACACTTATGGAATAGATTTTAAGAAAACATATGATAGCACTCACCTGATATAATAATCATTCCTGATGAGCAGCAGGTGCTGGAGGATGGATAGGAAGTATGGTTCTGAGCCTGTGTCTTTCACCATGTTGGACAGGAGATGGTACACCTCACCCATATCAGTGCATAGATGGTTAAGGACATAACTGCACACTGCTTGCCATGTAGTAAAACAATGTTAATCAAAACATCCCATTTCTATACTATGTATGCATATAAAATTGTGTAAAAGACAAGAGTGACTGAAATTATTTGAAGTGCAGTAGTATAATTCTAAGATGAGAAAGAACAATAAAATGCAAGCAATACAACTAAAGGTGAATAGCCATCCCTCACTGGAAATTGTGTGCTAGTTTTAATTCAGAAGGAGGACTGAGTCAAAGGTTGAGCCAAACCAGAACTGATGTTATCTTCCTGCATTCTAAAGTATCTTCAGGGATCTAATTTGCTAACATATGTAAACACAAGTTTTGAAGAAAAGTGACAGAGGCAATACCTCTTCTGCCAGTTCATACACTGGCTGTGGACATGAATCAAATGAAAATTCTTTAAGTTTGATTATTTAAAGCAATAAAACATGGATCAGTCACTTCCTTTTATATTTATTTATTTTCTGGACCGAAATCTCATCTTCAGTTTGTCTTGCTTGCCTCCAAAACAGAAGAAATGTGCTCTTAAACTTGCAGAGTATTGATTAAATGTCCAACATCTCCTCTCCCTGAGGAGAAGGGGCAGTGGCTTTCAATGTCTAAAATAGATGTAAGATCAGATAGTCATCATAGTCTTCTTTTTATATTATTATTATATCAAGAACTGATGTCCCAACCCTGTCTGGTATGTCCACTTGAGTTAAATAAATGACCGGTGATCTATTTTCAATGGTGGCAAGCTAAAGCATATGATGATTAACAATAGCAACTCGGTAGCTCATTAATTGTTTCTATTAATGGTCCTACAATGGAGTTAATATAACAACGCTCACTTAAAAAAAACACAGTGTTATAAAAATTAATTTAAAATGTCTAATAAAAGAAACAAAAATAACAATCTTTGTAAATATGGGCAAAATTGTGTGTATATTTGTCATGCTGCACTGAGCAGAGGCGGGCGAAAAATTGAGTCCAGTCATTACATGTATTGTAGGTTTTGACATTGTCTGTTGAAATATTTAAACGCTGACTGCAGGGTGATGCACTGGCTGGACTGGAGCACACTTTCTTGAGCCGCCACAATCACTCCTTCCCTTCCACTGGGATACAAATCAAAAAGCTATGGAGTCTCAATATTTAGAGGAAAACACAAAAAAAAAAGTACAGCAGGTCTGTTTTCATTTAATTAAAGGGAATCTGTCTCAGGTTAGAGAACTCTATATTCTTTAAAAGAATTTTAACTATAAACCGAGATACTTAAAAAAAATCTATACTATATTGCATATATAGCTCTATATATTTATGGAACAATAATAAAATTGAACGTTAAGACTTCCAGCCACTTTAAAAACTGCCCTTGCAGCAAACCAATCTGCCCCAGCACTGCTGTACATTTTCTAATTAACTCATATCGTTTCAGTTATTCATAAGGTTGTGAGTGTATCCCATGTTCTGTCAACTCAATGTGAGAATACAAGCATCTTCAGAGCATTATTGCTGATAACACAGGTGATCTGCTTAAGTGAATTATTTTCTCTACACTTCAAAACCAGCAAAATGCACCAGCAAGCCATTCTCTCTATTAAGCAGGGCCACGAGTGTGCACACAGACACACACCGTCTGTGCATATTTGTATTTTGGGCATGTTTGCAGTAATATACTGGTGGGGAAGGTGATGCATAAACATGAGCAGTATCAGCATGGAGCTGAGCAATACAAAAGACAGAGAGGGAGGGTCAATCAATCACACTGCCCAACTTTCAATTAATATTCAACAGCTTCCTGAAGTCACTACAGTGGCCAGAACTAAACCAGACCAGAAGTGCTATATTTATACTACTACTACTACCACTACTAATAATAATTATTATAATAACTTACACTTTATTTCGATAGTCCACTTTAGATGCTATACTAAGTAACTTTGCAACTACATGTCAACGAAATCTCATTATAGTATTAGTAGAATAAGTTGACATGCACTTCCAAAGTTATAGTCAGTAGAATGTCTGTTTGGGGACCATCAAAATAAAGTGTTAGCAGATATTAAGATGACAGTCTACTAATACTAATACTCTAATGCAGCGATCTTAATTCCAGTCATCGCGCCCCCCTTCCTGTTTTGTTTTTTTTTGCATATTTGTCACACTTGAATGATTCAGATCATCAAACAAATTTTAAAATTACACAAAGATAACCCGAGTAAATACAAAAGGCAGTTTTGAAATAATGATTTCATTTATTAAGGGAAAAAAGCTGTCCAAACCTGCCTGGCACTACGTGAAAAAGTAATTGCCCCCTAAATCTAATAACTGGTTATGCCACCCTTTGCAGCAACAACTGCAATCAAGCGTTTGCGATTACCGGCAATGAGTCTTTCACAACGCTGTGGAGGAATTTTGGCCCACTCTTCTTTGGAGAATTGTTTTAATTCAGCCACATTGGAGGGTTTTCGAGCATGAATGGACTGTTTAAGGTCATGCCACAGCATCTCAATCGGATTTAAGTCCGGACTTTGATTTGGTCACTCCAAAACCTTAATTTTGTTTTTCTTGAGCCTTTCAGAGGTGGGCTTGCTGGTGTGTTTGGGATCATTGCCCTGCTGCATAACTCAAGTGCGCTTGAGCTTGAGGTAACAAACTGATGGCCGGACATTCTCCTTCAGCATTTTCTGATAGAGTGCAGAATTCAAGGTTCCATCAATTATGGCAAGTCGTCCAGGTCCTAAAGCTGAAAAACAGCCCCAGACCATCACACTACCACCACCATGTTTGACTGTTGGTATTATGTTATTTTTATGAAATGCTGTGTTGGTTTTACGCCAGATGTTTTGGTACACACACCTTCCAAAAAGTTAAACTTTTGTCTCATCAGTCCACAGAATATTTGCCCAAAAGTCTTGGGGATAAACAAGATATTTTTTGGCAAATGTGAGACAAGCCTTTGTGTTCTTTTTGGTCAGCAATGGCTTTTGCCTTGGAACTCTCCCATGGATACCGTTTTTGCCCAGTCTCTTTCTTATTGTTGAATCATGAACACTGACCTTAATTGAGGCAAGTGAGGCCGTTCTTTAGATGTTGTTCTGGGTTCTTTTATGACCTCCTGGATGAGTCGTCGTTGCGCTCTTGGAGTAATTTTGGTAGGCCGGCCACTCCTGGGAAGGTTCACCACTGTTCCAAGCTTTCTCCATTTGTGGATAATGGCTCTGACCATGGTTCGCTGGAGTCCCAAAGCCTTAGAAATGGCTTCATAACCCTTTCCAGACTGATACATGTCAACTATTTTGTTTCTCATCTGTTCTTGAATTTCTTTAGATCGCGGCATGATGTGTTGCTCTTTAAGCATGCTTCACTTTGTCAGACAGGTTCTATTTAAGTGATTTCTTGATTCAACAGGTCTGGCAGTAATCAGGCCTGGGGGTGGCTAGTAAAATTTTACTCAGATTTCTAAAATAATGTGGTTAATCACAGTTCTTTCATGATTTAACAGGAGGGGGCAATTCATTTTTCACGTAGGGCCAGGAAGGTTTGGACAGCTTTTTTCCCTTAAATGCAATCATCATTTAAAAACTGCATTTTCTATTTAATTGGATTATCTTTGTGAAATATAAAAATTTGTTTGATGATCTGAATCTTTTAAGTGTGACAAATATGCAAAAAATAAAAAAAAACAAGAAGGGGGCAAAAACCTTTTCACTGCACTGTATATATATATATATATATACAGGTGCATCTCAATAAATTAGAATGTCGTGGAAAATTTCATTTATTTCAGTAATTTAACTCAAATTGTGAAACTCGTGTATTAAATAAATTCAATGCACACTGAAGTAGTTTAAGTCTTTGGTTCTTTTAATTGTGATGATTTTGGCTCACATTTAACAAAAACCCACCAATTCACTATCTCAATATATATATATATATATATATATATATATATATTATATTATATTTAAATAGTCATAAAACAGCCTGACAGAAAACAAGAAAGGTGATGAGATTGAATAAATAAATAAATGCATACATATAGATATTATCTCTATAGGTAAATGTAGGAAAATATTTGTAAAGCAGCCACACCGAAAACACAAAGCGGGACTGAAAAACGTGTGTTGTTTAGAAAGAGAAGAAGAGGAAAAGGACTGAGAAAGACAGAGACCGTTGCTTAGACACGCATATTACACAAGGCACTTACAGATCAATGCCAAATTGTCCTTAGAGACAAATGTTGTGTCTCTTGCACAGTTGGCTGCTCACGAAAATCATTAGTCCAGACAGCCTGAACTAAAACTCTGGCTTCTCCATCATTTCAGCGAAGCTTTCCCTCTGAGAGGTTATGGAAAGAGGGTGAAACGATAAAAACCATCAACAAAATCAGCACTAAAACCACAGAAAAAAATATGCTGCTTTTTCGAATTCAGCGAATGGCTTCAAGCTGCTTTATAAAGGGTACTGTGAGGATACACACAAATCCATAAGCTACTGCATATGGCTGCCACGTACGCAGCTGTGGCCTGAAGGGTCAAATGCAGATGTATAAACAGGGAGAAAATAAGTGTGAACCGATTTCCATAGCCGCGTGGCATAGTCTATCCGCAGATTTGAGGGGGAATGAAACAGAGGAGAGGTGAGCGTAGAGGTTGCTCTCTGTGTCTCTGGAATGCCAGTATAATGAGCTCAGGGCCAGAGGAGGATGCTGGGATATGTGTGCGGTGCGTGCACGTGTTGATGTGAAGAGGTTTGTTTATCACCAGAGTTGCCAGAGGCTGGACTGGAATTGAAAAAAAAAACCTGATTCTCAAATCCCTTCCGAATAAACTGGAGGTCTTGGCTTTAGACCCATGAGCCACACCGGGTGCCCTTGCAGCTGCACGCATACACGAGGCAGCGGTAAAAAGGATATTCCATCTCTGCGCGGATGTCATCCAGTCGGTGAGACAGTTCGATGGAATCCTCCTCCTTATTTTCATTAAACACCTTCAGCTGAATGTCGAGTTCCTCCGTCTCCTTCAGCTCCTGTGATTACAGAGGTTGACATAAGAGGAATGAGTGACTGATGAACATGTGTCCTCATATAACATTGGTAATATAACAAGAAAAAGTCTGCTTTTTAGATACTTTAAACCAGGGATCCTCAAATCTGGCCCACGAGATCCACTTTCCTGCAGAGTTTAGCTCTAACCTTAATCAAGCAAACCTGAGCATGCTAATCAATGTCTTCAGGATCATTAGAAAATCACAGGTAGATGAGTTTGATCAGGGTTGGAGCTAAACTCTGCAGCGCATTGGCCCTCCAGGGCAAGATTTGAGGAACGCTGCTTTAAACTCTTTGTACAAGGCTTTGAACTGACCTCATTAGAGTTTTGTGGCACTTAGCTCATGACTTTGCTTTGTTAGCTTTGAAATAAATACATGCATTCAAAATTTACAGTTTACATGCATTAATATCCTCAAAACAAGCAGTGCAAATGGAAAGATAATAAAAATGTGTGTAGGCTTTGGCCAAATTCCTGTTTAATAAGAAAATGAATGAATGAATGAATGAAAACCAGAACCCCTTTAAGGTGATGGATGAATGCCAATGTTAGGAGAGGCTTCAGTATGCCAATGATGAATCAACAGCCTATTGGCTAATTTTCAACATATTAGCCATTGAACATTCATTTTGGATCTAATTTTGATGTTTAAACCGAAAAAATGCTGTTTTATAAGAAAAGTTTTTGAAAGCTGTGCTTGTCAAGTGATTCAAAACTCAGGTGTCAAATAAAACCATAAGTCTGATTAGTTTTGTATAGCGCTGAGAGTCAATCTGTTTTTCTATGGTACACAGATTGTCTTGCTATGTATACCAGTAACAAATGCAACAGATCTAAAGGGTTTAGAGAGGAAGAGACATAAAGAAAGAGGGGATAAAATAGGTGTGCTTTACAACTCCACTATGAATCACTGCTGGTGTAGTTTATGGACGGTGAAAAGCCAAATGTAATCCAATTTCTGTAGTTATCAATCAGTGGACTATACTTCAGGCATGCCATCTGTCTTAAAGCAACAGCCAATCAGAGAGAAAGAGCACTCGCAATGCCGCAGTAGGAGGCAGGACTGAGTCTCTCTCGCTCTCTCGCACACACACCAAACACACACTCACCCATCCATCTCCAGAAATGTGTATTTTCATTTCATCAGACACCATTTTCTATCTCTCCTTGAGGATTTAGTGCATCTCATTTGTCTTTCACTTTGTTTCTTTCCTTTTGCACTTGCCATTTTGAGGATACTAAAACCTGGAAACTCATTATTCACAATTAGAGAACAATGTCACATTTAATTGTCCTATTAAATTTTTAAATACATTATTCATAAATTACGATAAGCTCATCATATGCGGGGGTAGATTGAGATAATTATAATAATTGCTGCAATAATATGGGGAGCAGTCAAAATGACTTATTAAGAGTGAGGAAATGCCACATAAATGAGATGGTGAGCGATGTGCTGGCCTGGTTGTGGGCTTTGTGGCAGCGTGGGGCAGAGATCTGCGTGCTGATTGATAATGATGTGTGAGGGGAATGGCCTTTATGAAACAAAGCTGTGCCATTAGGGAGGAGGACACTAAACCAGGGAACATTTAAGCAGTTTTCAATAGTTTTGTTCATAAGTTTTTATTTGTTCTGTAAAGCCATTTTTCAAACGTATTTTTTTTTTTTTTTTTAAATCTTTTAGCCTTCACTAATGTCATTTAAACCCAAACTCTTTCATTAGAAAAACAACATCTGTCATTTGATTACAAAAATGCTGTTGTACATCTTTTTTTTCTATTTATTTACTAACTTTCCTTTACCACAAAAGAAAAACTAATAAACATACAGTATATCCTATTATATAAAAAAAGAAAAAAAATCAAATAAGCAATAAAAGTAATGAAGTACAAACATTTTTTTTTTTTTTAAAGAATGAAAAAGCAAAAGATATACTCACTGGTAGGATCTTCTTGAGGCCGCAGCGCAGAAACTCATTTCGTAAGTGTATCCTGAAGTCTAAATCATCTGGCGATGTAACGAGGGCATTGATCAGCTGCATGCAGGCCACCTGTATTTACACACACACACACACACCACCATCATTTAATGCAAGCAAATTCTTAGAATCATCCCTTTGGCGATAAATGATTAAAATGTAGTACCCTGCAACAGCCTCTTATTCATACTGCTCTCATCTCTCATCTTAAAGAAAAAAATCAATATATCACATTACATAAAATAAAATGAATTCATAAGGATGGAACAAGGCAGTTGCCACTGTGAAGGACTGGGAGAGAAAAATGGTAAAAATGCAGGGAAAAGACGCAAGTGGATTAGTAAAGATGTCCAGAGGAAGGAGGGATGAAAGAAGGGAGCAAGCCTGGCTGAACAGATGTGTATTTGCAATTGATTTATCAGATCAGGGCAGTGGGCAGGGAGGAGTGCTGATGGTTCTTAACATGCTATAAGGTGGCTCCAGGGAGACGGCTAGGATGAGAAGCAATGCTCTTCACTTGGTTGATCAATGCAGAGTGGAAAGATCACTCTTGATGGACATGTGAACAGTCTTCCTATACATTCACCAGCCTTGGCCTGGGCTTTTGGAGTTGCTGTTGGCCTACATTTTATTCTTCTGCATGATTTTATTTGTCAGTAGCCCCTCCGTCATTCTGACTCTCGCTTGTTCGGCCTTCAAAGATCGGCCTCAAAAACAGAAACCTGACTTGAGTCATGGGAGAAACAGTTCTTGATATGATATTTAGGCAATGGCAGCCATTTAGAGGAGATGCATAGTCTTGATTGACTTGAACATTTTCATTAACTGAAATAAAATAAAAACATAACTGACTTATTTCAGACTGCTGGCATTTTTAAATTATACCAGTGCATTAACTTGGGCAGCCCTAAAATACAAATAAATAAATAATATATGAAAGTGAAAATAGAATGAAAATCTAGTGAAAATAGACAACTGAAAATGGGGAAATAAAAATAAACTAAAACTAAAAATCTAGTAGGAAAAAAATAATAATACTCTAAACAAAAATAAATCAATGCTTAAAAATTCTGCTTTTCACAGCAGTAGCCTTGGGTTCAGCACTCAATGGCATCAGGACTATTCTTGATTCCTTCTCTCGAAGTCCCAGCTACCCAGGAGCTGCAGCAGGCAAACGCAACAAGGCCTAGTTTGCTCCCATTGTGCAACATTATGCCTCCAAATCACCAAAGTTCTTAAATCTTCTCGTATTCCCATTTGAGCAATTATTTCAATTTGAATCATTGAAGAGGCCCACTGAGTGAATCTAGATCGTTCATCGAGTTCTCCGGAGGGCAAATGCATTTCATCAACACACCAGCCTGTTTGGAACGATGTTGCAGATAGGGTGCTGGAGCAGGTTGAGGAACTTATTTTCCTTTATGGGTTGCGTGTGCAATGATGAGCTTCTGCAACACAGTGCCGGAGGTGGATTCCAGCAGAGTAATTAAAAAACGGCACTGCTGGGACGGTTTTAGGTTTGCGTGCTTGCGTCACTGAGATGGCGTGACGGCAAAACACATTTTAATCAGGTTTTAAAAGTCAGGCTCTGCAGCCCATCGCAGGTTTTAAAAGTGTTTAATTTCTTTTTAACCGCCAGCGTTGGTGAGGTGTTTTAATTTACTTCACAATTAGCAGTGGTTCTTTTCATTAAAAGCCTTTTTTCCAAGGAGGAAAACAAGGCACCAAATCAAAGGGATTCATTCCTCCCTTCTCCTCTCGCTCGCCCTGGATCATATCGTCATTTTCACTGCTCTCTCAACAGCAACACAAAGATTAGGGATTTGGTTAATGAATGTGTGAGAGGGGCTTGTTGTGCTTGGTCACAGATCACTGCAGGCTGTGGAGAAGCACGGAATGATAAATACAGGTGTGGTGCTGCATCCTTGCCCTTTTGATTCGGTTCCTCTGAGACCAGCCTGAAGAATGCAGAGGAAAAAGTAAGACGGGAAGATGATAAAGTAACCATCTCTCGAGAAGAGGTTTTTTTTTTTTTTTTGGTTGTTGTTGTCGCTAGTTTCCAGAGCTCCAGGTTCTTTGTGTGACCTGGTTGGGGCTGATTAGGGTTTAGAATACACCTCCTGTTGCATTAGAATAGCCAGCAGCTAGCTTCCTTCTTGTGGCGTAGGTGGCAGGGTTGACAGACGACCACAGAACACAGTGAGAAGAGGGATAGGGGGACTTGTTTACACACGTCAAGCTGAGCCGGGGTGCAGAAGAGCTTTGAGTGACAGATGTGCCAATTTCTACCTGGCTCCAGCATCAAAAAGAGCATTGGAAATGAAGAGGCCTCACACATTGACTGACACTAAACAGAGCAGATCTATACCTGCTGCCCTGGGAAAGCAGAATTCTACTAATTATTTGAAATTAGTAAAATAAAACATGAGGACATATAAAAAAATTTTTTTTTTTTTAAAGTGTGATGTTGATGTGTGTTCTACTTGAATATTCCTTGCTCGTTCTAGAGAACAGACGCAACATCTAAATTCAGACACGGGCTAAACAACATGCCCAAAGATATAAACCTATCTAAAATAATAAATAAAATAAAATGATAACAGCAATAAAAAATGTGATTAAATAACAGATAATATAGCAAATTAAAAAATATATAAAATTTGAAATAATACAAAAATAACTGAGTAATATAAAAAAATGTTTTAAACAAAATGATAACAGCAATGAAAATGTGAGTAAATAACATATTGCAATTAAAAATAAATAAAATGTAAACCAATAAAAATAACAGAGCACTGCAAAAACAAAACAAAATAAAATAAATTATGATCTTTTCTGAAGTTCTAGAGGAGACACATGTGCAACTAAGGTTATTTAGAAAGAATTCTCTATATTTGATCCACATTAGCAGCTTTTCAACACTAAATTATGTGTCTTATTCACTAACCTCCTATAACTCAATTTAACAGATTACTAAAATAAGTTATATTTTATAAAATATATAAAATAAGGATACTGCTGAATTATTCTTTATAGAGAAAACACATCATATTCTTTGTCTTTATGTTTGTCTATTAAAGAATGCTTCTTATTCTAGACAAAAGGCAAAACTGTCTTCTGAAACCATAGGTTTTAACTTTGCAGCTACAAAGTCTGGGTTACCCGATCAAGAGTGTATGTAAATATTTGTATAAAGAGTGTGATGAATTATAACATGAATGTAATAAGGTGAAGTGGCAGGTGTGGAAGGCCAGCATTCTGACTCTCTTTTTCTTGGAAAGGGCACCAACTCTGACCTGTAGCTGCTGGGCTTCGTGGTTCTCCAGCCCCTCCACTATCGGAGCAAACCTCTCTTTATTATTCCTCTCTGCAGCAATGGTCATGGCTGCCAGGATCTTATCCAGACTAAAGGAAAGCAAGAAGACAAAACATTGCATTTAAGTAAACAAGCTTTTTATCAAGACATGGTCGTGACATTGGTTTAGAATGTTCACCCGAGTTGGTCTAAGCTTGTAATCTCGGTCTTGGACGTTTACGCTGGGGAACTGGAACAAAGTCACAGACTTTTATGTAGAGTTATAACTCACTAGGGTTTTGAAATACCAAAACAAGCCTAATGTTCAAACATAGTAATAAGAGAAATCCTTTAGTCTGTCTACTCTACAATATGTGATGCTGTGTCAGAAGCAGCAACACAAGAGAACCGGAGAGATGCGTTTGGACAGAGTGCTGTTGTGAAAGCAAATTAAGAACTTTACAAGGTCCCATGTCTGTTTTGCTGACTCAAGCACTGGTTGATTGCAGTTCATGGCTAAGGGAAAAGAACAACAGAATGCATCATAGACAAAATAATAACTGCAGAACAAATAATCGCTTGTGTAAAAATAGTCCATTCAGTAAAGAAACACATGCAAGATTGTGTGTTAACTGTGTATATCACTACTCTTGTCAGGTTAGGAAATGTTCATTTTGGAATTTATCAATTTTCTATTTGAATATATTTTAAAATGCAATTTATTCCTTTGACAGCAAAGCTGAATTTTCAACAGCCACTACTCTATTCTTCAGTGTCACATGATCCTTCAGAAATCATTCTAATATGCTGAATTTGTGCTATTAAATTATCATTGGTGCGCAATTATCAATAATGGTTCTTTTTCATTATCAATGTTGAAAACCTGCTTAACACTTTTTTTTGTAGAAACATTTATATAGTTTTTCAGGATTTTTTTAACAAATAGAAAGTTCAATGAACAGTGTTTATTTGAAATATAAATTTTGTAGCATTATAAAATGAATTTTATAACTTCTAATCAATGTAATGTCTTTGCAGATTAAAAGTGTCATTTAAAAAAAAAATGTATATATATATTTTCAATCGTACTGTACTTAACCTAAATTTGTGAATTGCAGTGTATCTTGACTTTCACAAAATATTAAGCTTTTTATATATTTGAAAGAAATATAATTAATAATTAATTAAATATTTTTATATTATGACAGAAATTTAATTTTGGAGTCAACCCAGTCATTAAAAAGTGTAGTTCATCAACTTGTAGCCCTTATTTTTCCTCCTATTCCTCCCTTTGATGATGATTAAATTTAAAGAAATCTATTATGTATGAAAATCACTATTATGATTAAGACAGGCAGGCACAAGATGCTTGTCGACTCTTGCATGCAACAGACTATAAACGCTACATACTAGTGATCTACACCAGATGTTAAGTTCACTTTCACATGTCTCGTTACCCCAAAATCGGTTTGCTGTGCTCCGTCGTGGAAAAACTGCAGAGAGAAGTTTTGCTGAACAGCTAGGTGTAAGATCCATGTTTTGTGATCCAGGTGATTAAGTTGTAGTCGTGAGTGGGCTGTACAAAGTCTTTCATGCTGGTTCAAACATGGCTTCAGAATGAGCTACACCTGCTCAACTCTTAAAGAGGGCTTTGATGTGACAGCACTAAACATAAGCCAGTGTCACTGCACAGCGTTTGAGGGGGAAGGAGCTAGTTTCAGCGCTAAGTGAGGTATCAGCATTTTACAGCTGTCACACAGATCTGCACACTCTCTGATCACCTACACACCCATAAAAAAACACTAATCTACTCACCTACCACACACCGATTCAACCAACTTGCACTTAGCATGTGAGCATGAGTCTGTCTGCGTGTGTTTGTGTGTTTACTCAAACAGATCCCAGGGCTGAAGGTGATGATTGCCAGATAAGTTCATACGATCAGTTGCAAACTCAGCTTTTTAATTATTCAACTACAAAACTAACAAAGCTTGCATACGCTTAGCCGGGGGCTTTCTAGCAGGCTCATTTGAGAAGGGCATAGTAACATGTACTCTTACTGCATGCAATGGACGCTTGCTAATAAATATCAGTTTCTGGTCACTGCTGTAACGCAAGGGGACCATAGAAAATATTGTAAAAAGTACAAAATGTCTGATTAGTATATTTAAAAGTATCAGTACATTTTGGCATAAAATTTTGGCACAAAAAAAGTTGATTGATATTAGTATTAAATAATTAATTATATCAACTGTGTATAACTTTATTACTAAAAAAAAATGTTTTAAACAATATGCCAAACATCCCTTTCTTGTAATTGTCAGAGGATATTTAAAAAGAAAATATATAAAGTAATATAAAAAAATAGTTATAACAATTGCTTTATTACTATATTTAATAGTATTAAATATTCAATAATAATTATTATAATTACTACTACAAGTAGTAGTATTTTTATAGTGTATTTGAAGATAAATTTTACTGAAGAAAACACTATAGAAAAGAAAACCACATAAAATGGGATTGAGCTGATGATCTTACATGTTCTCCTCTCCGATGATACAAACAGCTGACAGAATCTTGACAATCTCAGTCATCATATTAGTCTGCTTGGGATCGATCGCTCTTGCGAGGAGGAGGAGGCTTCGTTCGTCCCCCAAGATTCGTTGGAGGCCATACTGAAAACAAAAAGACATCTCATTTTATTACAACTTGCAAAAATGTAAAAATTTTAAAAAATGGGGGGGGGGGGAATTAAATAAATAAAAATATTACAGAAAAGTGTTTGGAATAAAACAGCATTCATATTTAACATGGCTGAGGTAATTGAATAATTTCAATACCATTTAGGCATGAAAGCAGCTTTAGAAAATATTAAATCTGATGATTATCTAGAGTTGAACGACCTTCATTTGTGTTTGCTCCTGTTTAATAAAGCTGCAGTATTTCAATCAGAAATGTATTCATTCTCAACGACAAGTAAGGAGCTGGCATGATTTTATAATCTTTGATATGTTGCTTTGGAGATTTTTTTTTTTTTTTCACTTGGCTCGTGTGGGACACAAAATGATATAAATTACTCAAGGTGGAGCTTTTAAATTCTAAACACACCTTATTGTTCATGAAGGCCTTGAGGCACTGAATGAGTTTATGCTGGTTCTTCTTGTCAATGTTCTCTTGCCTGAGGAAAAGAAAATCAGTGAGTAAAGAGAAAGATAAGAGCGTGTGAATGAGCAATCCAAAAGCACTAAAGAAAGGGAATTTCTCAAGATGACGACGTCAGAAAGTCTGCATAACTTACTGTTTCTTATCAAGAAGCCTCTCCAGCACATCCAAAAGCAGTCCGAGACCTTCATGGCCAAAGTTATTCACCCAGCTAAAAACAGAAAGAGACAGGCAAAGAACTGTGTTAGAATACATAAACCAACCAACAAGTACACTGCGAACAATTTCATTACAAGTTCGAAAAGTTTGGTTTTGAAGATGAGCTGGGTTACAACACTTCACTGTTTCTCAACTCAGGAAACAGTGACATTTTTTCAGTTTTTTTTCCCCCCACATCCATATTACTGACAAACAGCACAGTTCACTGTAGCACCGGCAGCATCATATACAAGATGAGTCATTCTCTGTCTCTCAGAAAATGCCACATGTGACAAGAACATGAAAAAAATATCATGATATCACCTACATCTCTGTTAGTGGCTTAATGTGAAGAATGTTCCACATATGTGTGACCAGATGGAATTCTGGAGTAAAGAATAAAATATTTATGCATCCTAGAGGAGATATTTGGCTTTTTTTCCCCCAATGAATTAAAAGTCATTAAAACAGTTTTCTTTAATAGACAGTTTGTATGTCTTTGTACTAAAACACACAGTTACAAGTCAACACTTACATTGCCACTTTTTAAAAATTATGAGCTTTGGATTCACCTGATTAACACACTTCTGAAAACAGATCCATCTAAGAATGTCGCACTGCAAATGAAGTAAAGGCAAATGCAAATGAAAGAACTCTTTGTGTGTGGTGCCTTAAGGCAACTTGTGCAGGCCATTCACTCCAACAGAAAGATAAAGCAATGCATGGGAGATAACAGTAAAACTGATAATGGATTGTGTAAGATAATTGGCTATAAAACACAATGTATCTGGAGACATTAAATGATCTGGGGGGATAAGAATAGGGAGAGAGAAAGAAAGAGTGAGAGAGCTAAGCAGCATGTGATCGCATTTAGAGTATGTCATTAACATCACTTGTTCTTAGCTCCAGATTGTCAATAAAGCAAAATACATGGGGTAGTTTGTTGCAATAAAGGACCATAAGTCAATGAGTTATTCCTTTCTTTTCGATAATCATAGTGCACAATGCAACATGCATATTAAAGTCATTTGTATAAACC